GCGTTGCAAATTAATTAAATTTCAGGTGAAGTTACTAAAAGCCGGTTTTCGTGGATAAAGTTTGTTAAACGACATAATGACATAAACGAATGTTGATGCCATTTGTTTAAGCAATTTTAAAAATAAATAAATAAAATAATAATAATAATAATAATAATAATTTCCCCCAAAGTTTATCATCCACACTGAAATGTCTGAAAGCTATACATTAGCCTTACTGTGCATGTATAAAAACCTCACTGAGATGATACAGACGGAACAGACATAAGTTTCACGCAATTCTTCTGACAGGATCAATTCATTTAAGGAAATATTTCACCATCCACTGACGGGCCCACAGCGCGCTCACTCAGAATTGATCTAAAACGCAACTGCCCTCGTGTTTTGCCGTAGGACAGCAATCGTGAGTAAATTTTCTGTCATCTTTTTAGGACTAATATGAAGAGTGTGCAAAGTAAATATCTTTAGCAACAGTGTGAAAGTGAATAGCACATAACTGCAAAATTAACGTTACTGGTATGAACATGTCTATTGGCAGGGGCGTAGCAAGCTTTTCAAAAGTGCGGGGGATGGATGTGGTTTGTTTATTAACAATAAAAACGATGAATACAGTGACAGAGGGGTACAAAATGTATAACATACAAGATATAAAAAGCTTCCCATTTAAATGAGTGATACTAGATAAGTATAAAAACACACACGGAAAATAAGTCAAAACTCTGTTGTGAAAATACACAACAGTAGACTTGCTAAAGAATCAGAAATACTTTAATAATCCCAGGGGGAAATTATTTTTGTTACAAACTCCAGATATACAAACAACATATATTAAGAACAAAATATATATATGCAACCAACTGACCAATGAACATATGACCAACTACCTCATTTAAAAGAACCAAAAGTGCTCTTTCTGCCCTCCTTACAGGAGACAAACTGTTAAGCAATCTTTTTTCTGTTTACCCTGTCCAGCTTGTCTTTATGTACATTGCACACAGCAACACTGTTGGCCCCCCCCCCCCCCCCTGTTAAAATGTTCTGGCACCGGGACTGGTTTACCCTGTTGGTTAGTAACGATGGTGTAGGAGAAGATGGCAAAATGCGTAGCAAGGCTCTCTTCAATTTTATATTTATGTTTTTGAACCGTTGGTTTTGTTTCCAATGCTTCAGTACATAACAGCACTTACGTCTGCCTTACGAATGTACTGCAAATGCTCTAAGTGATGTTTTATTAACAAATTTCGGGAGGAGCACGCACAGCCAGTCCATCATCAGTAATTACACCATCTATCCAATTAGCACAAGAGAATCTCTATAAATAATCAAAGCAGCCTTACCTTCATTATCTCTAGTCTTTCAGCATTCGGTTCGCTATCTTTGCCATCTTATCACAGACCCGATTTCCCGTCCAACGAAGGGACCTATACTGGGGATTTTTTCAGATCCGCCGCAATTTGCCGGCCCCATGATCACTCCTTCCACGCCAGACACGGGCGCCGAGCACCGGGCTTATTCGCGGCCGCTGCTCTTCTCGACCAGCCACACGCTCAAGCCAATAGACTGTGCAAAGCCCCAAGCTCGCTCGCTCGACACCACCATCGTCCCGCACAAGCTCTCCTCGAGCGCTGGGTCGCAGCAGCAGCAGGCCTTCAACGAGCCTGGGCCGCGCCCCAGATCTCACCGCAGCAAAACCTCATTCGCCTCCCACTGCGGCTCAGCCTTTCACCACGACTCTTCCGGCCGCAGCGCTGTACGCAGCCGGGCCTCCAGCTCTCGTAGCAGACGAGTTTGAGGCTGCCTCCGCTAGCGGCGCAGGCCGCGTTGCAAATTAATTAAATTTCAGGTGAAGTTACTAAAAGCCGGTTTTCGTGGATAAAGTTTGTTAAACGACATAATGACATAAACGAATGTTGATGCCATTTGTTTAAGCAATTTAAAAAATAAATAAATAAAATAATAATAATAATAATAATTTTCCCCAAAGTTTATCATCCACACTGAAATGTCTGAAATCTATACATTAGCCTTACTGTGCATGTATAAAAACATCACTGAGATGATACAGACGGAACAGACATAAGTTTCACGCAATTCTTCTGACAGGATCAATTCATTTACGGAAATATTTCACCATCCACTGACGGGCCCACAGCGCGCTCACTCAGAATTGATCTAAAACGCAACTGCCCTCGTGTTTTGCCGTAGGACAGCAATCGTGAGTAAATTTTCTGTCATCTTTTTAGGACTAATATGAAGAGTGTGCAAAGTAAATATCTTTAGCAACAGTGTGAAAGTGAATAGCACATAACTGCAAAATTAACGTTACTGGTATGAACATGTCTATTGGCAGGGGCGTAGCAAGCTTTTCAAAAGTGCGGGGGATGGATGTGGTTTGTTTATTAACAATAAAAACGATGAATACAGTGACAGAGGGGTACAAAATGTATAACATACAAGATATAAAAAGCTTCCCATTTAAATGAGTGATACTAGATAAGTATAAAAACACACTCGGAACACACGGAACATAAGTCAAAACTCTGTTGTGAAAATGCACAACAGTAGACTTGCTAAAGAATCAGAAATACTTTAATAATCCCAGGGGGAAATTATTTTTGTTACAAACTCCAGATATACAAACAACATATATTAAGAACAAAATATATATATGCAACCAACTGACCAATGAACATATGACCAACTACCTCATTTAAAAGAACCAAAAGTGCTCTTTCTGCCCTCCTTACAGGAGACAAACTGTTAAGCAATCTTTTTTCTGTTTACCCTGTCCAGCTTGTCTTTATGTACATTGCACACAGCAACACTGTTGAGGCAGTTTTGGGTCATGGTGCTGCAAAGCCATATTTTCAGCCTCCGGAGGCTGCTGAAACTCCTTTCTGACTCTGCTGATGACACAGGCACAACTAGGAGGAGTCGGGTAACCGTTTCGACTTGGTCAAAGAGACCACGGACCTCTGGGGTCATCCCTTGAAGAACAGCAACAATTTCAGTACTAGACTGGAAGCTCTACTTCATTCTGAACAATGCAAGCTGAACTTTGAGGATGTCTGGGTTGATTTCTGGTTACTGTTGGACAACACCATGTACTCTTTCCAGTTAAGAGAACTTGTTCCAGGTGCCTTAACATTTGCATTCCCTCCTGCTCAAATCTTTCTCTAAACTGCATGTCAGCAACATCCAGAACTTTGTAGAATTCAGTCCTGTAGTAGTCAGAAGGGGACACATGTACATGTGCAGGAGCATTACCTGTGAAGCGCTGAGGTGGGATACGGACACGAGGAGAGGCAATAGGAGTGAGATGGAGTGTCTCACACATCCTTGTTGCTTTCGTGTAAAGAGCCTGAAAACTCTGTGTTTCTCTTTTTGCTGAAACTTTCCTTAACACAGGCAACAGCTGAAAGCATACCATCTACGGTCTGTGTTCTGCTCTGGAGGGACATATTCAAAACCTCCAACTCCCCTGTGATCTCCAAAGCACATACAAGACCAAGGACAACATTTCCCTGCTGAAATGTCTCATACAGCCCCTGTGCCTTACTAGCCGCATCAGACTCACTCACTGCCATCTCAGCCAAAGCCTTGATTATTATGCACTCGTACTGGTTTAGCACAGTGCGGATGGCACTAGTGCGGACCGTCCACCTTGTTGGACACAGAGGTCTTATAGTGTGACATGGACCCTCACCCTCCTCAGACCTTGCAATTCCCTTAAATATGTCCTTCAGTTTCCCTGACTGCCCAAACAACACTCCCAAGTCATTGACCCAATCCAGAGAATTCAGGATAAATATTGAGGCAGTACAGGACCTCTGTGTAATTAGGTTAACACAGTGGGCAGCACAATGAACATAGGGAGCCAGTGGTTGTATTTTTCTTACAATGGCCTGTGCTCCATTGTATTTGCCAGCCATATTTGCGGCCCCGTCGTATGCTTGGCCACGCAACCCAGTGATAGGCAAGTTTAGGCGCTGCAAAACATCCATGACTACTTTTGTTAGATTTTCTCCTGTTGTCAAAGAAACCTCATAAAGACCAATAAATTCTTCACGAGGGACTAAATCCTTGTCAAGATATCTCAAACACACTGTCTTTTGCTCTTTTCCAGACACGTCTCGTGTCCCATCCATCATCACAGAGTACTGCAGGTGTGGAAGTGATCTGATGTTTTCAACTATTTCGCGTATGATCACGCTGCTGAACAAAGTCAGGATTTCATTTTGAACCATAGCTGAAGTATATACATCCTTTCTACCACCTGTCAACCACTTGGTTAGAGAGGGGTCATCCTCTGATTTGTACTTCAGAACCTGTTCAAAATTTCCCTCACCACATTCGTGGCCCCTAAAAGGTAAGCCCTGCCTTAGCAACATCTGCACAGCACCAATGATTTTGAGAAGACATCCTCTTGCTGTTTCACACTCACACTAGATAGCTGAACCTGTACTGATCGATCTTCATAGATGTGCATTGTCATGGCTGTCTTATGACTATCAGATCTCTCATGCACAGTAAATCGCTCAAGGGCTTTTTTCCAATTTTTAAACCCAGATGAAATTAATGCTGAATCAGCATTCTTGGCAAGAGGTGATGTCTCAGAGTTAAAGGCTTTGGAGCAGTAAAAGCACAATACACCCTCAACACCAGGACTCGCATGGAGCCATGGAAATTTCTGGTAACACTGAGTTTGAAAACTCAGAGTATATTTGGGCAAGGACTGTTTAGCTATTAATTTTGGATCTGGTTGATTGGGCTTACTGAACTGATGGTGAGTAACAGCCACATCTGAGTTCTCTGCTCCTCTCTCTACAATTTCATCTTCATCCTTATCCTCTCTGACCTCTCCCTCACTCTGTTCTTCTTGTCTGCCTGCTTCTTGTCTGTCTGCTTCGTGTCTGCCTTTTCCTCCCTCTTCATCTCTGTCTTCCTCACTCCTGGCCACATCCTCACATACACCCTAATCAAAACATTTTAAATGAAATTGTGAATTTGATATAAACACACCAGACACACGCGTGCACCTGGGATGGAAATAAGCACCACCCATGACACAAACACACACACATGGCCTCTCTTCCTTCATAGACCTCTTTCACAAACTGTAACATTCATTTCATTGCTCACCTGTGAACCTTCCTGTGCTCTCTCTGAAACTGATGCCTCCAGCAACTTCCTCTCCTAAGGTGGTAATAATGGGCAGTGGTAAAGGAATAGGGCCAAACAGTTACAGCTGTGGCACTAGCAAACCTCAGTGAATATTGAAAAGTAATATCATGAAATAAATACAAACCGTATCTAATGGGAATAGGCTACTGTTGTTTAATGTCAATTTTTCAGCTTTCAACTTCACTTACAGGATTTCTCTTGAAAAAGGTGTCAATCTTCTCCTGCCTCTTTCTTTTCTGCATCTTAATGATACTGTGTGACAAAAAGACAGTGGTAAGCTTGATAGTGACATGGGTCTGACAGGACTGTGACTGAGACTGCTAAATTTTGCTTACTTGTGCCCTGAAAAGGGGAGAAAAAAACACCCACACAAAGCTTTTTCTCTGGTGGTATAAATAATGTAACAATTTACAGTTTTTAAACATTAAAATAATATACACTTTTCTTTCATAGTTCTTCAACAGGTATGCAAACAATGTCATCATTCTCACTTTTTTTCTCCTCAACAGGTAACGTTACAATCAAACACAACAGGTAAGTATCCACAAAAGTATTCAGCTAATCAACAAACAATGCTCAAAATATCAAAATCAATTGCACTGGCAATAAACCCATAAATACACTGCTTAACAATGGCTATTTGTCCCCCCTCCTCGTCAATTCTTTGCCTTCTTCATCACAGTTATGTTATAAATTGCATGCCACATAACGTTACATAACCGAATTTAGCTAGCTGCTGAACAATATCCCAATAATAGCAATTAGCATTAGTCTAAAAAACGAAATCTAATACAGAAAACACTCGACATGTCAACAAAACAATAACAGAACATCTTCCCAAACACATATCAAGCTTATTTAAAAACCTCGAAAGCATAAACACTCATTCAAAGTACCTGGAAAAGGGAGATGTAAATAACCATTTACCATAAGTTCGCGCTGCCTCAGCACGAGCTGACCGATAAAACTAACACACCAAGAGAGGTGGGACTTAAGGCAGAACAGCTCCCGCAGGAGCCTTTCTGTATTTCCCCACTGTCCCTGCCCCTGCAGGAGCTTTTCCCCATTTTCCACACTGCCGCAGCAGTCCCCGCTCCTTCAGGAGCTCTTCCATGTTTCTCCACTGCCGCAGCAGTTCCCGCTCCCGCAGGAGCCTTACGTAAATTCCCACACTGCCGCAGCAGTGCCCGCTCCCGCATGAGCCTTTCTCATATTTCCCCACTGCTGCAGCAGTGCCCGCTCCCGCAGGAGCCTTTTCTGTGTTTCCCCACTGCCGCAGCAGTTCCCGCTCCCGCAGGAGCCTTACGTAAATTCCCACACTGCCGCAGCAGTGCCCGCTCCCGCATGAGCCTTTCTCATATTTCCCCACTGCTGCAGCAGTGCCCGCTCCCGCAGGAGCCTTTTCTGTGTTTCCCCACTGCCGCAGCAGTTCCCGCTCCCGCAGGAGCCTTATCTAAATTCCCACACTGACGCAGCAGTGGCCGGTCCCGCAGGAGCTTTTTTCATATTTCCCCACTGCCACTGCAGCTCCGGCAGAAGCCTTACCTAATTCCCACACTGCCGCAGCAGTTCCCGCTCCCACAGGAGCCGTACCTAATTCCCACACTGCCGCAGCAGTTCCCACTCCCGCAGGAGCTCTTCCACATTTCCCCACTGTCGCAGCAATTCCTGTTCCCATGGGAGCCTTTGTCTGTGTTTTACACTGCAATGTTAGCTTCCGCTGGAGCCTTTTCTGTATTTCCCACAGCCACAGCAGTGCCCGCTCCCGCAGGAGCCTTTCCCATATTCCCCAACAGGAGCAGTGCCCGCTCCCGCAGGAGTCTTTTCTGTAATTCCCCACAGCTGGAAATATTGTCTGTGTTTTACACTGCAGTGTTCGCTTCCGCTGGAGCCTTGCCCATATTTCCCCATAATAATTTATTATTTTATTTTATATATATATATATATATATATATATATATGTATATATGAATAGATCATCAGAAATCACTTTTTTTTATTGCGCATTCCAAGTAATAGCAATCAAACTGCAGCTGGGTTGTTTTGATAAAGTAATAATAACTTAAACAAATACAGGTAATTTACTAAATTATAGGTCATTGAAAGTATGTTTTTTTTTTTTACATATTAAAAGTTTGTTTTATAGCATATAATATAACTCCAACAGTCATTTTTTGGCAAAAGCAGATAACTCCACATTTCATGTTTTGGAGTTTAAAAAAACACTCATTTAATCTCTGTAATCTCCTCAGATGACAATGTAGATGTCTGACAAACGTTGTTGTTGTTGTGATCATAAACTGTATGGATGTGATGATTACACGCAATAAACTGAGCTTTTCCCTCACCATTGTAACGTGCTGATTTTGCAAGGTTCTGTGAAAACATTTCAGCTTTTCATCCTCAATCACTTTTAGTCAGCTTTGACGAAACTCCTCTCAGATAGCACATCTTTTCAAAGTGAAAGTAGCCTTGCCACCTGACCTGAATACAGCGCGCTGATTTGCTAGAATGGACTTATCGGCTTCTGTTCAAAAACAACAAGGGCCCTTGTCTACTTCTGCAGTAAAACGTGAACTCGCGATGCCTTGAAAGTGGACAAAACCGGCTTTTTTGACAAAACGTGTTTAGGGTTCAGATTGCACTATACAGTATGTGGAGAATAATGCACGGCAATAAGCTTTTTTCTTTTTAAGTGGCGTTTATCGGTTTTTGCAAATGAACTCTTCTCACACACACACACACACACACACACATATACATATATATAAAATCAATGGCCATTCACTCAAAAAAGAACACTTTTGTATAACTTTGTCTTTTCTGATTTTCATTTGCACGTTTGCTTCAAAAAAATCGTAATCAAAAAGATTGTAATCATTAAAGATTGTAATCATGTGATTTATGAATTGGTTGGTTTAATGAATGGCTTTTAGCTTTATTGAATATTTTTTTGAATGAAAAAAAATGTATGAGAAATATAGTTCTGGACCAAGGCTGCAGAAAAAGTGGGCGGTCACTGTTACCCTGCTCTCAATTTACGGTGATACAATACCGCAAACACTAAGAAGGCCACCTTCTCTGCTGGAAGTTTTCATCTCTCATACGCAGTCACATTTAATACCCTAATAATGATGAGGCCAGTTCCCTGTTGGCAAAATATTTCCTCCACACAATAAGGCAATATAAAAGAGGGGGAAAAATACAAGGAGAAAAAATAGGGAGGACAAAGAAGGGAGAAGAAAGAAGCTGCAGGAGCCTGAGCTAAATGTCTCTAGTCAGGAAGGAGTTAAGGCCATAAAGATGTACCTCGGCCCTGACCCTTCACACTCCAAGGTATCCCCTGCGTGGAATTCTTATTCCCCACCAAACTGACAAAGTGTTTTTAATCTTTTCTTGCCCTCTCTCCTGGAGATTGGGGAAACAAAAATCAATACTCGCTGGCAGGCGATCTAGCAAGCGGGTGAATTACAGAGGCCGCACTCTGGCCACAGCCGCACAAAGGGAGGCCTTGGAGGCAAGGGACCTTGGGAGTGGCGTTTGAGATGCAGGGGTCAGCGGTTCAGCCCAGGTCCGCAGTCTAAGGAGCACCGCATTTACTGCAACGGCTCCCCATAATGAAAATAACTCCTGGAGAGGAAGAAAAGGAGAGAGAGAGAAACGGAGAAAGGAAGAGAGAATCTCAGTGAGGATGAGGAGATTGAGGGGAGGGGGGTTGTTTTATGTCTGTCAGTAAGCACTCAAACAAAAGCTTAGGAGGAGAGAATCACAGTTGCAGGGTGGGTCATTACACAAACACACATGACCGTAGAGTAGTGTGCGAGTCTAGATGGGTCATTATCTGTTCATCCTACCAACCACCCCTGGTACTAATGAGAATAAATTAAACTTTTAAAGGGATAGTTCAAAGTTTTAAAGGGACAAATTCTGCTTGGCGTGGTCTTAGATTTGTGAATAAACTCTTTCAATTGAATCTTTTTAATGAATCAATTGATCCAATTCACAAAACCAGTCAGGTTTGTTCAAGATTCTATCTTTTACAGATTGGTTTTGTTAACTGGAAAAAAAGGTGAAAAAATAAATATTAGATGAAAAGTATTAAAAGAAAATTAGAAATGTTGACTTGGCAAATAAGTTTAAGCTGAAGTACTAAAATTAAAACAATAATGCAAAAATAAGACAAATTACTATACCAAACTAAAATAAGAACTGGAGATATTAAAACAAAAACTAATAAAAATAAATTACAGTATATATATATATATATATATTTATACAGCAGTTCATTTGGTTCGTTCTGGTTCTCAAATCTGATTGGTTGAGAACCGTGAGATATTGTACTGGTATTGCTACAGGAACGCCCTTTCACAATTTTGTATCACTCCGCTTGTTCTAGCCGGGTCTATGTTTTTTTTTTATTATTCACTGAGCTAATCGTAGAGTACGTTAGTTAAAGGTGTAATAGGTGATTGTCTTCAGAAACATTTTTTGTTATGCTGGTTGAAAGTCTCTTCACATCCCGATAGCAATCATTAAGTTAAGTGGTCTAAATGTATTTATATATTCTGTGGAAGGCGTAGGACCAAGAAATGTTCGTCCAATCAGAACGCTCGGTCCGAGCGTTTTAACTGGCTTTCCTAACTGCCTGTCAACATATGTATTTGCATACCTCTGCGCACCCTGTTCGCGCAGACAGGATTTGTCATCAGCGCATTCACGCACACTGTGCAGACAGAGCGAGAATGGCAGACAAACATCAACAAGCCGATTTTTACTAACTGTACAATAAAGTTTTCTCACCGGGTGAATGACACATGATGTAGCTCAGCGGTTCCCAAATCCAGTCCTCGCACAAGGGAAGCAGGGGAAATCTGTTGAAGTTTACTTGACTTCGGAACATTCATTCACTGATTTGCGCTGCGCAGCATCTTCACACACAGACAAAACTTACTAGAGAAAAGTGACATAATATACCTCTGTAAATAAATACTATTTAAAGGGGTCATATGATGCGATTTCAAGTTTTCCTTTCTCTTTGGAGTGTTACAAGCTGATTGTGAATAGATAAGATCCCTGAAGTTGCAAAGACTAAAGTCTCAAAACCAAAGAGATATTCTTTATCAAAGTTAAGACTCTGCCACGCCCCCCTAAAATGGCTCGTTCTAACATGCCCCCACATAGCTACCTCACTATGTGGAAATATTAGCATAATGCCGCCCAAATGTGCATGCAAAGAAAGAAGGCGTGGTTTCAGTAACCGCAGTTAGTGTTGAAGCAGCCATGTCAGGGAGACGCTGTGTTTCTAGGCGAAAGCAAAAGCACTTTATTTGGCCTTCCGAAAGTAGATGCATTTAGGAATCTTTAAGATTACTTACAACAGAACAGCAATGCATTTTATGGACGACCGTTTCGTGAACCTAGGAGAGGAGGT